AATGAATACTCTTATAAGTCGTTAATATTCATTTGTGCAGATCACATTTATATATATGTCATAGTATAGTATATACATGTACATTTCAATGTCATAATGGATTTATAGTATTACAAGTTCATGATTTTATTATTATTGTGTTCATTTTATGCCTCACTAAGTCTGTGACTTAGCGTGTAAGTGATTTACATGTAGGTACCAAGAAACAAGAAGAGCAGAAATAGGAGTGGCAAGGACAACATCACTACTAAAAGATCAGATCAGAAATAATTGGCAAAGTATGTGTTTTGTTGTATTTAGTGTGTTGGCATGTAAACAATGTGTTAATTATGAATGCTCTGATCGATTTTGTATTGTTTTGGTCAAACTTTTGTAAATTAACAACTTTTATCTTAATGAAAGTTCAAAATTTCCTCGATTTTCTTTAAGAGTCAAAGTTTGTAAAGTCAATGTGACACCTCGGACTTGTATTCGGGTAGGGTACAGGTTGGGGGTGTTACACAGACATTGTCCCAATAATCAATATCCCAATAATCAGTATCCCAATAAATAATAGATTTCATGATCCATAAATCAGGAACGACTATATTTTCCAGTGAAAACATGTAACTAGAGAGCACATATCATGTAGCCATAGTTTATAAACAGTAAATCAGAATATCTAATAGTTAAAAGATTCAGTAAATCGTAACTTTGATAAATCACATTTCAGAATAGATAGAACAATCATATAACATATATGGAACACACTAGAGGATCCAATTATTTTCTGGAGGTACTTGGTATTTATTAGGTATGGAACCATGAAACTTTTGTAAATTGATAGGATTTCATAAGCGAGATCCCTATTAAAAAGGTTTCGATAACTAACAGATTAATCAGTAATTCATAAAGTGATACATCATGATCATTTAGTATTTGGATATATCTGAAGGGTATTTAAGAACTGTTGTAATAGAATTTCTTAAGATTCATATATTCTAGAGGTGATTCCGTCAATTAGATTCACAAGGGCATTTTAGTCATTTTAGATCTATGAGATGTTTTAGTATTTAACTCAATAAAAGTAAAACGATGATTTACGATATTCCATATTTGTAACGAATTATCGACTTCCGAGTCCAATCAAGCTAAACATTTCTCATCATTGTAATACTTAACAAGACCCTGATAGGAACACTTTATGGATATTGACTTTTTTTCATACTGACTGCACTATATGACCGAAAAAAATCCACCTTCACAAATCTTCATTGAACAGATCCCAATGAGGCATAAATATATTCATGCGATAATTATTCTAACTCTTGAATCTTAATAGTAGCTAGCATGGCTGATAGGCTAGGGTTGTGCTTCAACCTTTAGGAGCGATACAACCTTTAATTTTATCACTGTTCCTAGAATTATCTAAATATATTCCCTTATTCCAAGTAGTGAGGGTATTTAAATAAATTAGAATCTCAAGGGTATATTAGTTATTATGGAGCTCAAGGGTACTTCAGTCATATCAGAGCTCAGAGTATTTTGATCCAGTTGAAGTTCATGGGTATTCTGGTAATTTCATTTGATCCAGTCTTTCCATTTAATTTACTCAATTCATTTACTTCCATCATTTCGAACAATTCAGACATAAAAAGTACTTCTATGGTGTTAGTGTTTAATTATTTGCATAGAAATCGATAATTCTATGTTTTGAGCCTTGACGGAGGTTATGAAATGTTTATCAATGATTCTCCGAACAAATCATGAAATTAACAGGCGAATCAGTAATTTTATCAGGCCGAAAACCAATTCTCAAGTCAAATCCACTAACAAGAGAAATTTCATGTCATTTTTACATCTCAGGGGTAATTTCATAATTTCTTATTCGGGTATTTTTGGTATTACAACTTTTAACGAGGATAATCAGAATTTAAGGTTTATGCGGTTAATCACTACACTGATTAATCACTGAACTTGGAATTATTTATTACCAGAGTTCTAATTTCTTATAGAGTCATCCGAGTCTTATTAGTTTACATACTTTTTACTGTATTCAGATCGAGTTTAGAGATGATTAACTACATACATGTGACAAAATATACTCATCAATGCATTAACCAATACCAACATGTTCCATAAAGTATGCAAAAACTAGTAATGTATTACCTCGATTTTTGAGCCACATCGGTTAACCAATTAAACTCCATTTGATCACCCTCGAACTCAAATTCCACGTCCCATAATGTCTTGGATACATGGCAAAACCAATTACATTATAAACGAAACTTAAACGTGAAAATTCGTATTGAATCTGAAGATAAAATGCCAAAACAATAGCTTACCGGGATTGAATTTGGCGAAACGAACTTCGGATTCATACTCAGAACGTCGAAAAATATAAAATATGACTTTTAAAAAATGTTGACATTTTTGTCAAAGTCAACAGTCAAAATTGGTCAAAGTCAATAGTATGGTTAAAGTCAACGGTTCGGTCAAGGTTAACGAATCAGATCGGTTTAGTTGACTTAGGCCAGTTTGAGTTGACTTGGTTCGATCCGAGTTAACTCGGATTGGTTTCTAAAAGGTTTCATGATCGGTGAACCATCCCCACGTGCGCAGGTGGCGCGTGGCAGAGAAAATGACGATTGGTGACGGCTGATCACTCCCGAAGTATCCTCAAAACGAAAAAAATTCAAAACAAATTAATATCAGGCCAAGATCACCACGAAACTACCGAAAAAACTCTCGAATACTTACCCTAACGGTGGAAGAACGAAAACGATGACGGTGGGGAGCAACACCGGTTGGGTTTTGCTCGAAATCACTTGAGGATGATGATGGTGAGGGCAGTGTGGATAACGGGTCGTCGGCTCGACCGAAAAAACTCAAAAGTTGAACGATAATTTTGTTTCTTGAAGAGGCTTCGTAGCTCCCTCCACGACAAACGGCTAGGCTTCACGGCAAGTGGGACACTAGGTTTTGATCATGACGGCCAGGCGCTTCCGATGGTGGTGGTCATGCTGCTCACCGATGAGTAGTGGTAGTGATGAACGATGATGGCTCGAACGCTTTTTCTCACAATCCATGCCAAAAGATGACTGATCTGGGTGGTTCGTCGGTCAGGGTTTGGTCGCGGGTTAACGTCGAAGCTGCTAGTGACGATGATGCACACCACCGCTGGCCGGAGTTGAGGTGAATGAAGATGGCAGTGGTTAGGTAAAATATTGGTTTTAGCTGTGCAAGTTCATAACTGGGGGTTCTGTTAAAAGGGTTAACCCTTATTTAATTTGTTCAAGAGATATTGATATTTTTTTCTTGAAATTATGTCATCTATAGCAACTTAGCGTAAATGGCTAAGGCTTAGGTTTGGTTCCCCTGCTTGGTTTCCTATGCTGAAAATTGTGGATTTGAATCCTACAACTCACATTTTTTAAGGTTAAACTGGGTTGAGTTATTTCAGGTTCAAAGGCATGGATTAGTTAGAAAATTATGAATTAACCCTTAAAGTTTAAATCTATGCAGTTTGGTCCCCAATTAAAGTTTAATAAATAAATTTTATTTTAATTTTAAAAAAAAATCGGGGTGTGACATAGTGAGAGACATGAAAATCCTAAGGTGTAACATTATAATCACGTGTTAATTCATCCATTAGAGGAAATATAACACTTATAAGGTTGGACCATGTCATCACAGCCCTATTATGTTTATATGTTACTCTCTGTGTGGTTTATTTAACCATCTGTATTATTAGATATTAGGTTATGAGAAGTGGCTTGGTGTTTCTTGCGAGTTGTAATCTTGAAATTGCACGTCGTTAGATAATTTTGACTTTTGAGACAAAATTAATCTGAAATGACGGAGTGTATAACAAAATCAAAAGATAATTTAACTGATAATTCAGCAAGTGTTGGTGTAGTTTGCTACAATTATAGGTAAGTTATAATATTTTAAAGGGTTAACTACTTGATTGATCACTTATGTTTATGTTTTGTCTACTTTTCTTCATTAATTTCAAAAAATATAATATATGGTCACTTTCGCTTTTATTTAATTAAGATGTGTTAACCACGAGGTAACTGTCGTTAATAGTTAATAGTTAATAGATTAAGTGACGTGACAATTAAATATTTTGCTATAATCACATATTTGGTCCTTATTATTTACATATTCTCTCAATTTATATTTATTTTAATAAATTAAAATAAATTTAATCCTTTAATTGAATGATGCCATGTGTCATGGGTGCCACATGTCACCGTTCAATAGGAGGAATATATTTAATTTAATTTATTTTAATTTAATTTAATATATTTATTTTCAACTAATCACAAGATGACACATGTCACTCTTGGGTTGAAAGAAAACAAAGCAAAACCAATTGAGGTAAAAGGGATTTGAACCTAGATCACTTAGGAAACTAAGCATTGGTCTTGATCTAAAATAGATAACATGGTGTATATATATATTATATCTTAGTATATAAATAATTAACTTATATTCATAATATTTTATATATGTTATCTTTAAGAAATATTTTTTATAGTAACTTATTAAATATATTTTATTATTAAAAATATTTTATTTTAAAAAATACATATTTTATTCTCATCTAAACTTAGAAAATTATATTTTATTATTATTTTAACTTTTCAACGCATATATTTTATCTTAATTTAATAAATATATTATATTATTACTTTAAATTATTAAAAGTATGATTAAATTGAGAGAATATGTAAATAACAAGGATTAAATATGTGATTATCCTAAAATATTTAACTGTCATGTCACCTAATATGTTAACATCAGTTAACCTGTAGTGATCACATCTTAATTAAATAAAAACAAAAGTGATTAATATTATATTTTTTAAAATCAATGAGAAAAAATGGATAAAACAGAAGCATAAGAGATCAATAACGTAGTTAACCCTATTTTAAATTAGATCCGCAATAAGTGAAATGGTTAGCTCAGCCTTTTTTCTAGGGAATGAATAGTTCAACTTTCGGACAGATGCTACGCCTTCTCCCACTTTCTAAACTTAAATCTCCCATTTTTCATCCCAAAAACTCTTTCAATCTTTCTCTAAAGCTCTCTCTTTCTTCATAAGAAAAAGGTTTGATTCTCAATTCTCAAGAATTCATGTCGGTACGTATTATACATTAAAAAATTTCTTAAGTTTTGTTGTTTGATTCAATTTCTTTTGTTTTTTTATGAATTTTATCTTTGGACTGTTTTGATTCACATCTTTTTCTGGGTTCTTGATTCTATTGTATTTACCTTCTCATCATTTTTTTTGACTGATTTCTTTGGTGAACTTTCTCTGGGAATTAGTTATGAACGTTTTGTTTAGCTTATAGATTGTATAGCATTTGAGGCAATTATACTCCATCACAACTCTGGAAAAAGATAGATTGATATTGAATCAAAATGGGATCTCAATACGAGTCTGAAAGTTTCAACTTTCAAATAATTGAGTGGAAAATATAATTTTTGATTAATCATTGAAGTCTGTATGGGATCACGATAAGGTTCTTGAGAACACATTTAGAGTAAGGATATTGAATTTTACTCCCTATAAAAATGTGGATTTGAAAAGTTAAATGGATTTGAATTTTACTCCCTATAATGTATAGTTAAAAGAGTATGAAAAAAAGGATTTTGTTTGAAGATAAGATAAGCTTTTCGTTGTATGTATCTTCCAAAAGTTGGTCTTTTAACTATATAATGTATGACTAACAACTATTGACCTGCTTGTTTATGATGTATGATTGAGTACATTGTAGTTGTTGGCTACTTGGGGACCCTTAGACACGCTCTAATTCTCTGGTTGGTTATGAGGATGTTAATGGGAGCCATTTTACCTTTTCTTTTTTTGCCTAGGAGGATAACAAGGGTCGGCCATTGCCGAAATTCGGTGAATGGGATGTCAACGATCCTGCATCGGCCGAGGGGTTTACCGTGATCTTTAACAAGGCAAGAGATGAGAAGAAAACTGGCGCCAAACCGGATTCGGCAGCAAATGCTGATACTCAAAATAAGCCCGGAGCGGATCCTGGCAAACCCCAGCAAGTAAGTAATACTCTTTTTTTAATTTAGTAATATATGTTCGAAAAATTCTTAACTATTTAACATTGAACGCTCAAACATCCCTTCACGTTATGTTCGAATTTGAGACCTCTAGAGATACTTTAACACTGATATGATTGTTTATAAGCATGGGTTTTGTCGATTTTTATGATGACGTGATGTGCATTTTTGTTATTAGAAAAAAGGGCTGTGCTGCGTGTTGTAAAGCGTAGCTGTTGTGGACTTGCATCATGATGTGCGCCTTCAATGGGTTTGCTGCATGCGTGCAAGCACCATTGGTCAGGGAGTCTGGCATCTGCAAGTATGTTCAAGCCACCACCATATAATTTCTAAAGAAAAAAAAAACCCAGATCTTTAGTTCTGTTATGTTTCCTCGAATTTCTCTTTTTTTATTTGTGGTTTAAAATTTAATCCGCGTGTTTGTCAAAAGGCTTTCTTTCCTACTCTTAACGTGCATTTCTATAATGTTATCTGCTGATAAAAGACCAGATCGATATGCATATCCCGACACATACATACATACTTAAAACAAACTGGACAAGAGCAGGTAAGGTTCCAGCTTCAAAGGCTTCAGTGATGGAATCAAATTGAATGTACAGGAAATAATAAAAGAAATTTATTTAATTTTTTAATCGAATCGATTTCATAAGATTCAAATTGAATAAATCAATTTTTAAAATAAAAATTTTCCACTCTTTCTTTTAATTAAAATATTCTCCGTAAAAGATCTAGATTGTCGACTTGAAACTATTTCATGAACCGACAATTAACCGCGACCCCAAACCCAGTTTCATAATTTCCCTCAACTAAGATAGTCTCGAACTCGTCGAAGACCTCAAGTTCCATGTTCTCACTCCCTCCAAAATCTCTTTTTGTCAGGAAACACTTTCACGGGTCGAGTCGCACCCGCTTTAGGATTAGGGGTGTTCACTTCTCAATTAAAATAAATATTGACTGAATTAAATTAGTTTGATTAAATGGTCGATCATTAAATTTAGTTTGACCGGGGAATGATTAATTTTTTTAAAATTTGACTAATGGTTAATTCGATTCAAAATCAATTAGTTAACAGAAAATGTTAAAATTTTAATATATTATATATATTAAATACATATTTTAAGCTCAAATTCATTGAGAATTAAGACATAATTTTTTTCCGATAAAGATTATGGTTTCATTAGCAAGGAAATCATACAGGGAAGGATTAATTCATGTCTCATTAAAAATCTCCCTTAAAGAAAAAAATACATACACTAATCAACAAAACAACAAAGCAAATATGCAAACCATAAATTAAACATTAACAACATCAGACACCATCATGTCTTCATTCAAAAGATGAACGATAAAAGTCGGCGGAGAAATAAGAACCACAGGATCCAAGCTTTCAAAAGAAGCACTTTTGGCCAAAGCATTAGCAACTTTATTTCCTTACCGAAAAACATGTTGAACTTTAACGTACCAGTTATGATTCCTTAACTCATTGAAATGACCACTTAACGGATGAGCTCCATTATAATCCGATTTAAGGATGTGAAGAGTTTTCATGTTATCAAGTTCAAGTATAATCTGATGAAACCCTCGTTCCAAGTAAGATTAAGGTGGTGTTTGTTTTTGCAGAGGTAAAAAGTCTGCAGTCTGCGGACCACATATGCAGACATCTCCACCAAAAGAGGTGAACCAAAAGTCTGCAATCTACAAGAAGAAGACTGGTTGTTTTTTAACGTCTGCAGACTGCTAAAATAAACTAAAATATAAATAAACTGAAATATAAATAAACTAATTTTTTAAACTTAATAGAATTTTGCAATACTGAGATTTAAATAATTTTAGTTTTATAATACTGAAATTTAAATAATTCATACAACTACAATAATAAATTTTTTAGAAAAACAAACATCACCGTATTAATTCTATTATAAGTCTCACATAATCACATGTATTATTAGTTTTATAAGTTTTATAAAATAAAATTTATAAATGATCATTAAATTATATGATTTTTTTAAACATTAAATTATCTAAAGTTATATAATAATATTAAATTTTGAATTTTATTATCATATGGCACAACAACATTAATTATCATTAAACTATTATTAATCAATGCATCACACACCTCTCTTTTTTTAAACATTAATTATCATTAAACTATTATTAAATATGCAATTATGTAATACTTTTATTTTTTTTAAATATATATATATTCATAATTTATTTTTATAATTATATGATATTTTTAGAAAATATTTAAACTTAAATCCAAAAAAATATTATATTTAAACTTAAATCAAAATAAATAAAATAAATATAAAATTTTAATAATATATAAAATAATTTATATGATATAAAATTAAATATCTATAATATAATATTAAGAAATTAATATTTAATTTATTTGAAAAATTAATATTAAAATGAATATATACAATATAATATTAAAAAATTAATATTTAATTTATTTAAAAAAAATTAATATTAAAATTAATATCTATAATATAATATTAAAAAAATTAATATTTAATTTATTTAAAAAATTAATATTAAAATTAATATCTATAATATAAAAATAAATATAAAACCTCTTTGAAGAGATTAGAAGACGTCTGCATACATAAGGCAACGTCTGCGCCGCGCAGACCACGCGCAGACGTTAGAAGAGCTTTTGTCTTCTAAAAAACAAACAGTCTCCGAAGCCCAATGTCTGCGCGTGGTCTGCACGGCGCAGACATAAGAGCTTTGAAGACCTTGCACAGTGAAAACAAACATCACCTGACCCCAAAGTTCAGCATCAATCACCGAACACACCCCAAAAAAATTATAAAATCCAAGTACCCAAGTTCCATAACAATCTCTCGCAACACCCCCACACCGAGCATGACTATCAGCTTCTCTCCAAGCAGCATCGGTATTGATTTTAGTCCACGGCGATGAAGGCGGCACCCAGGACGAAGGCCCACGTGGAAAAGCAGCAGGTTTGGACATCGGCTGTTTCATAAAACTGCAGGCAGCAACAATAGTTTGCACACTGCGCAAACTGCAGCCTATGATAGACCCATCTTCGATCATTAGCATCTCAAAAACCTTCGCATTACGAGTCCGCCATATGTTCCAAATAGTTACCGCGAACATGAGAGGCCACTCTATATGATTTTTAGCAACACGTGTATCCCCATGCAAGTAAACTGCTATCCACTCCTTGGTTTCAAGGGACATGAAATAATCCAAATTTGAAGCAAAATCAGATCATTCCATACTTGAAATGCAGCACGACACCAACGTGATACATGGTTCGTATCTTCACAAGCAGCCCCGCAAATAGAACAGCTTGGATCATTAGAAACGAGCCATAGAAACGTTTTAATCCGAGGAGGCCCTTGAAACTTATAAGAGTCCATATCTTATCCGTAGTAGTGATATCCATGTTATGTCTGATTTTATACGCAGATTTCACATTGAAAGACAGATCATTATTACAGCGCCACCCCACTCTATCATTAGTAAGCGTGCTACTCGGGCCTTTCATACGGGAAAGTCTCACGTACGATAGTTTTAATATACGGTTAAGAAAAGTCATTATCGATTTTAATATTATATTTTTAACAAAACTGGTAAAAATTATCGAAAATATTATTATTTCTATCAGTTTTGTTATTATTAGGTGTTTTATTGGTTTTGTTAACATATCTGGTAGGGGAGGATGTACATGGCTCCCTAGGAAAGCCATTGCACACCCATTATTTTGAGAAAAATATTAAATTTAGTTTAATTTGTTAATATGAATAGAAAAATATAAGAAAATATGCATATCCAAATTTTTTTAGAATAGGGTATTAAAATTTTGGACCCATATTTTTTAATTTCTAGATCCAACACTGATATCCGGTAAAACGCTACCTAAAACAATATTTTTTTCTATCGATTTTGTTATTATTGGGCACTTTACTAAAAATGTTAAAAAATAATAATGTTTAAGATAATGATAATAATATTTTAAATAATTTTTTTACCGATTTTATTAAAAATATAATAACAAAATCGATAACACTTTTTTTTAATCGTATATTAAGGGGTTGTTCGTTTGGCTTTGAATGGAACCATTCAGCGTGTTTGTTTCTCACCTCTGAATGATTCAGTGCTGACTGATTCAGCAAAAGAATGTTGAATGATCCAGTGCTGATTAATTCAACAAAAGAATGTTGAATGATTCAACAAAATAGTATTGAATGATTCAACATCAAAGTACATTTTGAATGATTCAACATCAAAGTACATTTTGAATGATTCAGAGTCATTATCAAACAACATGTCACATTCAGAGTTAATTCATACAGAACATTTGAATTATTCAATATTTAAATCATTTAATATTTAAATTATTCAACGTTTAATTATTCTGAAGTAACCTCCCTCAAACTACACAAGGTATAACTTTCCATTAGCCGCAATACGTAAATGATATCTAGAGGAGTAAGGTGCTCAAACATTCCCCAACGCCAATCACCCCCAAGAGTTACACATGTCAGCAATGGAATCAAATCCCAAATTCTGAAAATGACTAGGATCAATATAGTTTATAAGCGGTCCGATCTCACGAATCCACGAGTCACGCCAGAAATCAATTTCCTTTCCCGTTCCAATGGTCCACACAATATTTTCCCAAATGTCATTCCAAATTATGCTAAGACCTTTCCAGAGCCGCGAATAGTTCCTATTTTTTTAATTCCAAAGGAACACAATCCTCACTAGACCCATTAAATTATCGATATCTAATTAAACTAAAATAAAAAATAAATCTCTATTGAACTTAAATTGACCTAACTAAAAAATATTAATAAAAAAAATAACCTAACTAGAAAAAAAATATAAAAAAATTCTATTAATTCGATTACCGATTAACAGTTAAAGAAAAAAAATTAAATTAATTTAATTTCAGAGAATTCGGTTCTAACGATATCCGAACTAATCGTTTAACGCTCTATTAGGATGGGTAACCTCGCTACAGCGTTTGGGGTCTGTCCAATAATCAGTTTATCGGCAGGATTTCAAGATGGATCACAAACCTTTATGGGTTAAATTAGTCGAATTTGTCGGGTAACAAGTTTGATTGCTGGTTAGCAGCTGGGTTCCGAATTTTACATTATTTTTTTGTGAGGGTAGATATTCTACCAGGTCCTTGTATAAATACCCTTAAATTTAATGATGTCATTTAAAAATGGGTAAACTACATATTTAATACCTAAATTTATTTAAAAATAATTATTTTACAATTATTTTTAAATGATAAATGGATAACAAACATTGTAATAATATATATATATATATATATATATATATATATATATATATATTTATTTATACACACAATTTAAATTTGTTTAAAAATAATTATTTTATAATTATTTTCAATTTTAAACCTTGCATTAACTAATAATTTATTTATTAGAATATAACTTAGGTAATCATTCAAGTAGTTTATTTTATAATTTATTTATTAAAATATTATTATTTTTTAATGTATATTTAAAACAAGATATATACAAAATTTGATAAGCAAATAACAAATATTTGGTTTGCTTCAATGATTGAGGTGTCACCTTGTCCCCAAGGTCCTAGGTTTGATTCCTCTTGGTTGGTAAAGTTAATTATAAAAAAAACTCTTCAATTAGGTTATAGCACATGTAACTATTAAAATATATCTCAATAATCGATTAACAAATAACACATTCCGATAAGAGGATTAATTTTTTGAATTAGATTAAAATTAGAACTAAATTGATAACATTTAAGTATTGAAGATCAAATGTGTAATTAGATAAATTTTTGTCAACCACTACATCACCTCTTTGTTAGATTTTAATGGCTAGTAACTATATTGAACCCATTTAAATAGTTCAGAGGTCATATCGATACAAATTTAAAAACGATGGTCATTTCGATACCAATACCATAGTTGGATGGTCATCCTAAATTGAAAGCCTACAGCCCAAGAAAATTAGACTAGCTTAGTTCCCTTAAGCCCAACATCCAAGGAACCTAGCATAGAGGCCCAAACGGAGACCCAAAGCTAATTAGAATTTAATATTTTCTCCTAAGCGTCGCACGCCACCTGCCGTTGGATCGAAATAGATAGATCCAATGGTCCAGATATTCTCGTATTTGGGTTTTTCTCATAACCCTAATGTTGTTTCAGTCATCACTAGAGATCCCATGAGCCCGCTCGGTTTCTAACTGTCGTTGATATCGAGCCAATGTCGTTGTTGCCGAGCCGATTCAACATTATCCCATAAAATCGGGGGTATTAAATGGAGCTATTAATGAACCCAGCAACCACTGTCACACCAACCTCGTTTGCCTCATTCTTCTCGTCCGAGAAAAACCCCTTTTTGACAGGTCTAGAGAGAACATTGAGGCTTCCATAAAAAAGAAAGCCCCTCCTAAAATATGTGTGGTTTTTAGAGATCAAGAAAAAGAAAAAGAAAAAAAACCAACAACACTGGCAAACTTTCAACCAGAGAAAAAGAAAAGAAATTTCATCCTTCAGCAATCCGAACCAAAATAAATAGAAAAAAATATTACCTCCCTTTTTGAAGTCCAAATTTCGGTCAAAGTCTTCATCGACAAAGAGAGTAATAACATACTCCGATGAAAGTTCCATCGAATGATGGGTTCGACAGCCACGGGAGATAGACTCATTGTCTCCCTTTTTTTTAGATCGAAGGTTTTAGGGCCGACTTTAGGTAAAAGTGACCGAAGTTTTGAATTTAGTAGGATGAGAGTAATATGTCGTTTGTTTTTATTTTTTTCGACCACCGTCGACGGTGGTCGATCATGATCACCAGCACCAATGAACGATGATCGGTGGGATTATTGTCTAACCCATATGAGAATAGGGGGAGAGAGTTCATGGTAAATCGCACGAGAAGGGTATTTGAATTTGTGGTGTTTGCAGTCTGGCCGTTAAATAAAATGTTCCTTGTTATATCGTAACTTTAGTGCCTGGACTGTACAGTATGTAGCCATATTTTCAGTTGGGCTTGTTGCTTGGTCTCTCAAATCGGAAATTTTGGCCTAATATCATAGGTGGGTTGATTATTTAGGCCAATACAGAACCAAATATTTTATTTTGAAAATTATGATATTTGTAACAGTGACTCGAAACTCGTCACGTGAGAATGATAAATTCTAATAAAATATTTTTTATTAGATTTTATCACTCTGATGTGACAAAATCTAGTAAAAAATTATATTTTATTAGAACTCGTCATTTCGTTGTGACGAATTTGAATAAAAAAATGCGTGACGAGTTTGTCTGTAATATCCTAAATATTAGACCAGAGATTATATTGAAAAGGTTGAAAAATTTAAGATTTAAATTGAATTAGTGGTAAAAGATGAAAATAAGGAATTGAAATAGTGTTTAAACTAAATTGTATACATAGATAAGTTAAGAGGACATTTTAGTCTTTTTTTAAGGAAAGTGAATTAAAATAGATGAAGAAATAGGAAGGTAAAGTAAATTGCTTACACTTCTTCTTTTTCTTCTTCATCTTCACGTGGGTATTCTCTCATCCCTAGCACAAGTTGGATAAGATTTATAAACACATTTGAAAAGTGGTGCGATTCTTAGAACTTAATGTTCTTGGTAGATAGTAGATGTTTGATGAAATAAGATGAAGGAAAATTTGTATGGGTAAGTGGAGAAGAGTTGCATAGCATTTTTGGGTGTTAATATAAAGAAATTTGGCCCATTTGGCTAAAAATCGGGTTAAAAACTGGAAAATCTAGGTAAGGGTATCAGTACTGATAGAACAATATCGATACTATAGGCTAAAAAGAGGATGAATTTGTTGGATAGTATCGATACTGATTCAATCAGTATGGATACCATTGAGGCAGTATCGATATCATTGAAAGGGTATCGATACCAAGAAAACATCGAATCTAATTTCGGTATCGATACCGTAAGGGGCGTTTGGTTCACAGATTTTTGCATTCCTGGGAGGAATATTTTTTTCTTGGTTAATATACCCATGATTGGATAGGCCATATTCCCAAGTGAGGGTAAAAGCTCAATACCAATAGTGTTTTTTGGGGTCTGTATTACTGGGAATATTATTCCCACGTCTCACTTAGGTATTCTTTTATTCCTATGCTTAAGGGCTAAAATACCCTTTCTTATCTTCTTCTCCCCGTGACCTTGCCTATGTGAAGGAATAAAAATTTGTAGTTTTCCAGTGAGATTCTCAGGGAGAAGAAAAAGAAAAATGTTTATTTCTTTTTTTTACTGCTTCGGGGGTAGGGTTTTGGTGGCCGACCATCTATGGCTGCCACTGCTAAATCCGTCGATCATTCTCTTTGGTGAGAGCCGTTCTCTTCTCTTCCGACGAACCTTGAGAATACCTCTCCCTTCGACGATCGGAAACCCTGGTATATTTACTATTGATCTTTCTCTTTTAATTTTCTTGTAGAGCACATTCTGCCTATTGGGCTATTGGATTTTTTATACGTTTTGAATTATGTAGGCGAAGAAGTTGAAAGAAAATCACGATTGGTTCGTGGAGACGGTTTCCAGGTTTAAACCGCCGAATGAGAAGTCGAAGGAGGCTTTGGCGACTTCGCAACAAATCAAGATTGGTCCACATATGTTAACCATAAAGCCTGATTTCAGAGTCAAGGCTTTGCAAGTCAGCTCGTATTTGGTTAGTGACACCTTCACTATTCTTTTAAATACCAGCTTGAACATTCTCTCTTTTTTCTTTTAATTTTAATGTACATTCATAAATCTATATTTTAGTATTTAGCACAATCTATTGTTTGACTGATTAAGAGGAGCTAGCAATTTTAAGGAAACAAAATGAGTCCTACATCGAAGACAATATCTCCTCAACTAGAAAGAATTCATGTCTTCTGGCATTACATAGTTTGTTTCTGATTTTAGTTTTGGCTTGCTAACAGTGTTTGGATGAGGTGTTGTCCTACATTCTTGTTGATAGGTATATGTAGTGCGGAAATGCTGTGGAGAATTACATAGTTAATGACCCTATTCATGTGGTTAGTAACTTGTTGAACTTTTTTGGATGATAGTTGTAATTATAAACATAGTTAAGAGGAGCATGCATATTGATGTATGCTAAATATGTCATAAATGGGAAATATCTGTGGGCCATATGTTATTAAAACCATAATTTATATTCTATGATATGAAGATGTCTTATTCTCTTCTATATATACTTTTATTTTTTTTCCATTATGAAGGTATTGCTACAATATTTTATCGAGCGACAATGTTTGTTCAAGTGCATAAGGCAGATCTTAATGCATGCTTGTAAGGCTATTATGAGGTCATTATATTCTTTGATCGCCCATTGCTGACACATCTTTCAATAATATTTTAATTTTGTTATGACAACACTACTGTATTTGATTTAGTATATTTAGGGAATAGCTTGAAAGAAGGGAGTCTGATTAGGGAGGAAGCACTAAAGATGATTTCTGATGGGTTGGAAGGAAAACTAATATCTATTGTGGAAGTCCTCATGTCTTGTAATCATCCAGAGCGATGATATGTTTGATATGATTTGTCATTTACTTTTTACCTCTGCAAGAAAATTAGGAGCAACACGTTTTTAGAAACATGACCAGCTAGTAGGAATGTGTACGTTATGATGGTTGATTATGTAGCATGCATCTTTTGAATTCTTGAGGCAGTTGACTCTTACTATGTGTATTATGTATGCACTACATTTGGTGATACACAGATAGATATAAGTGTAGTATCTCAGTTGTTTTTTTGGTTTGCTGTCATGCTTAAGCCTTCTAACTTTTCAATGCATGTTTTGAGAATATTATAGGATGTTGATCTTTTTACCTCATGGGCTGAGGAGACACTACTTGAAGACAACTTGGTTTTGGACATTATTTTTCTCATTTATTATGAGTCACTTTGTACATGTAGTGCTGAAAGGTGGAAAAATTTATGCAAAATTTAGACCATCCTTTTGACGGCGGTCCTTCTAGAATTATGTCGATCTCTTTTTGATTTTGACTTTAGAATATGGTCTCAACTTTTTTGTCTAGCTTCACCAGGTCTATGTCAAGCTTTTGACTTGGATAATTTTTTTTGTATATAATATAGCCAACATATATGATTAAGTTTAGAATGTCATGACTATTATCTTTTGTAAGTCTGAACATTGTTTTTGCTTTTGATGGTTAATGTTGTACTTCTTTTTGTTCTGTAAGCTAAACAAAGAATGTAAGCTTATATCTTTTAGTTTGCACTTTTGCTTTTCATTATTCTGTTGCATGTTGTCTGCTAGTGTTATCGTCAGTCTATCTGAAATTGCTAAAATAATTTATTGCTTCCCAATGTTTCTCATAAATGTTGCATCGTAATGGGTATCAAGAATACCACATGTTTTGTATTATGTTTATTACTATGTGCAAAATAAAATGAATCTGATGTGTTGAAATAAAAAGGGTCTTACAAAGTCAATAGGTTGCTGCTGAAATAAAATGAACCTGTTTTGTATATTGTTTTGTTCTCATTTACTGAAAAAATGTTTAAATTATAAAAACGAAAAATGTGCTATATGTTTATTAATTAAATGTTGATGTAGAATTTTAATATATTTTTAGATAAATAATGTAAAAAATAATATTATTTATAATTAAAATAATACATGATATATTTACTCTTTTATTCTACCCATTTATCTTTTAAATTTTATAAAACAAAATATATATAAATTTTATTAAAATGTATATAAATTTAAAATAATAAAGTAATATATTTTCGATGATTTTTTATATAAATATTTTCATTTAAATATTTAGAATTCCACTTGTTAACACATATAGAACAAGGACAATTTGGTAAAATATACGTTCCAGTAATCTCATATTCTTTCAACCAAACACTTTAATCATACATTCCTACAAAACATACCAAACACAGTAATGTAACATTCCCAGTAATGTATCAGGTAATGTTACATTCCGATAATCTCATTCCCAGAGGTAATACTATATTCCATGAACCAAACGCACCCTAAGGGGTATCGGTACCATAATAGGGTAGTATCGATACTACGTAAAGGGTATCGATACCATGAAACATTAAACCTAATTTTGGTATCGATACCAGGACGGGGTATCGATACCCTAGTGTAGAAGTATCAGAACTAGGGTAATAGTATCGATACTTCGGATTCAGAAATGTTAAAAATAGGTTGATAATGATATGGAAAGTTAATAATATTTTCTTTTGAATATGGTTTAATTACAATGGTTAAGAAATATACTAACATTGAGTATGACACATGTTTTAATGGATGATGGAATAGATCGGAACCAAACTCCCGAGACAAGCAACTCTAAGGGAAAGGGCAAAGTCCCGGAGTAATCATCCTTACTTTTTAGACACTTAGCGAGGAAATCCAGGTGAGTACATTTATTGTATGCAATTTAGATGAACATGATTAGAAATTATTCAGAATGTAATATTTAAATGTTAATGTATGTTTTATCGAAATTATTATGTTTAATCGAATATATGGAATTGATATTGTGAATGAGGTTTTAGAGTATGAACTGCTCTAAAACGAATGAAAAAGAATAATGCATATGGGTGCATTATTGGCATGAAAGGATGTCATAGCTAAAATGTATATGGGTACATTATCAGCATAAAAGAATAATACATATGGGTGCATTATTGGCATGAAAGGATGCCATATCTGAAATGTATATGGGTACATTGTCAGCATATGGGTGCATTATTGGCATGAAAGGATGCCATAACTGAAATGTATATGGGTACATTGTCAGCATAAAAGAATAATGCATATGAGTGCATTATTGGCATGAAAGGATGCCATAGTTGAAATGTATATGGTTACATTTTCAGCGTAAAAGAATAATGCATATGGGTACATTATTGGCATGAAAGGATGCCTCGCTGAAATGTATATGGGTGCATTATCAGAATAAAAATATAATTTATTTGGAATACAGAATGGTGCATTTCAAATATGAATGGATGTTATAAATGAAAAGGTTTATGATAATGGTGAATGGAATATCTTTTAATCTGCAAGGATTAGAGAATCCTTAAAGAATATACCATTTAACAGGAACTAAATACTGTTAATCACTTTTTGTATACATAAATATTTCTTTACAATATTATGACTCACTTAACGTTTATGTTTCCACATGTAGGTTATAGCAGAGAATAATCAAGTAAGGAGTGAAGCTGCAGCAGGAGATATCATCCACTAAGGTTGACTCACTAGTAACATTAGGACTTTAGCAACCATTTTGGAACATGTCTGGCATGTAATCAAATATAACAACCATATGTTGTAATATGTTTTTAATGAACATATATTTATGATGTTAATTATGTAGACCTAAGTTTGCAACAAAATTTTAAGGGATTTTCAAAACTAGTAAACAATTTTTAAAGTAATGTGATATTTGTATGTGTATACGTAATCGTATATAGAATATGAGTGTTACATTTATTGGTTTCAGAGCTAAAGGTTTAGCCGATTCTCAGCCAAAATTATTTATATTTTAAAATGGAAAAAGGATTACATGTGAATAAGGGTATTAGTGTTACTGAGATAGTGTCATTAGAGGATGATTGATAACACTCCTTACTGATGATGATGTTACTGAGATGGTGTCAAATGTTTCTAATGATAATGTTATCATTATGTATGTTTTATTAGATGTTAGAATCCTCGAACTCGAGAAGAACGGGGGAATAAGAAATGCAAGAGGGAACGGAGAGTGAAAGTTATGAGGATAACAATGCACAACCTCTTCCTTATGAAAATGCAAGTGCACCTACACCTCAAGGGATTGTGTCTCCTGAGTTTGGAACTTTTATGCAAGCCCTTGATGCTATATTCACTAGGCTTCAACCTCTTCCTGCTCCCCCAGTACCTAGAATGTTGATTCCCAAGGAGCTGAAGAGTTTGGGAGCTCCAGAGTTCTGAGGAGATGAGGGTGAGGGTCCTATGGAGGTTGATATGTGGTTAAATGATGTGATATTAATGCTTGAAGGCATGCAATGTTCAGATCAGGAAAAGTTGGGAGGAGTTGTATCTTTTCTTAGAGGATCAGCTCGAATATGATGGTCCAACACTACGATGTATGCACCACCAGTGCAAGTCACATGGCAATTTTTCCAGGAAGAATTCAAAAACAAGTATGTGGGTGAACAATTTAAACGAGCAATGTTGATAAAGTTCCTTAATTTAAAGCAAGGTGATCGAGAAGTTCAAGAATTTGAGGCTGAGTATAATAAGTTGAGCCGTTTTGCCACTGAAGTTGTGCCAAATGATAAGGCAAGATGTGATTGGTTCATAGAGGGTTTGAAGCCGAAACTGAAAGAGATGATGCTGGCCTTGAACTTGCTGAGTCTACAAGACGTTATAAGCAGATCCAAAGCTATTGAAAGAGCTCATGAGGAAACATTAACTGTAGAGCAGAGTGTTAAAGCGGGGAAAAGAGTGGGAATGCCTTCCACTCCTCATTATGCTAAAAGAGGAAAAGGCTCGAGTTCCAGATTCTCTAAGAGAGATAGCTTTGCAGCAACATCACAGAAGAGTAGACAATCCTAGTCTTTTACTGCTAGCTCGGGTAGAGCTTTTAGGGAAAGAAATCCATGTCAAACTTATGGTAAATTACACCAAGTCCTATGTAGATTTGTCAGTGGAGCTTGTTTTCTATGTGGAGATATGTGTCACTTTGCACAGAATTGCCCTAAGAAATCTGGTGATAACTCGACATAGTCTAAAACATCAGTAGCAACCTCAAATAGAAGTAAAGGTAGGGGTAGATCTAGGGGGCAAATGGATTCAGTGCAGAGACAAGGAACTCATGGAGTCGCTAGAATTTATAATATAAAGACTAATGAGGATCAAGATGACCCTGAAATTATAACAGGTACATTTCACCTTTTTGATGAGCCTGTTTTTGTCTTAGTTGACCCTGGTTCTTCACATTCATATATTATTACTAAGCTGATTAGAAGTAGAGGAATTCCTTTAGAACCAATTGTGAGTGAGATGATAGCGATAAATCCCATGGAACAAAGTGCAAGAGTCACTAAAATATATAGAAAATGCCTTATAAAGATCCAAGAGAGTATATTTCTGGAAAACTTGATGGAGTTGCCCTTCGATGAATTTGAAATTATTCTAGGCATGGATTGATTGGCCTCACATTATGGATGGGTTGATTTTCGTAAGAAATGATTGTTCTTAAAGAATGCTGAAGGTGCATAAATTGTAGTAATAGGAGAAAGATCGAAATTACCCTTGAATGTGATATCGGCTATGACTGCGAAAAAGACGATGTTGAAAGGATGTATAGTTTTTCTTACCAATGTGGTAGATACTCGAGTTCTGGAAGCTAAAGTAAATGATATTCCCACCGTTAGAGAATTTTTGGATGCTTTTCCAGACGAGTTACCAG